CCCGCCAAAGCGCCGGGAGCTGGGGCCAGGATAGGTAGCTGTTAAGATCGAGCAGGGGATGGGGCCTGTGCAATTTGAATGATTCAGCAGCAGCCGAATCTCTGAATCAGATTTGGCCAAATCCAAAGCAAACAGTAGCTGCTTCACACAGGTCTACTAGAATCCAGCACAGGAGGATTCTCCCAACACAGAAAGAGAGGCAGGAAGTCCTGAGCCTGCCTTTCAAGAAGCCCTGACAAGCTGATTGGAGGAAATGCAACAGAACTGGGAAGGTCATGTCAAGGGTGTCACAGCAACACTGGAGAGTATAGACTGTGATGCAGTGCACTGGCAATCAGCACAAATGGTAATCACTTAAGCAACCCTCTGAGGTTGTCTCAATTATTCTGGGGAGTGTGAAGTAGCCCAGGACAATAAAGGTGCAAAAGGAGGCTTGAAGTCACCTATTGCTGGGCTGAGGCTCAGCAGAGATATCACCCAGAAAGAACAGCAGAAGTTTTGGGCCTTGGCCTCACCTTTTTTCTGGCAGACTTCCACAGCTATCTTAGTTCCCATCCTTCCCCAGAGAGAAAGTTATGATCTGATATTACTAACACAAAACAAAAAAATACATATACACACTCCACACCTTTGAGGCTGTATTTTTGTGTCATAAGAGAGCAGCAGCAGGTGCAGCATTTTCCTTTTTTTTTTTTGTTAAAAACCCATAATTCACATATTATGTAAGGCACTAATTTTAAAGCTCCTTTTGAAAATGTTGAATGCTCAAATACTTGCTGAGACAGTATTACAAGATACCAAAATCTGTCAATTTCCTCCATTTAACTTAGCTTCTCTCTTCCTTTTCTCTTAAAGGCAATATTTAGTAACAGGGAAAAATCCTTTAAGCAATTCCAAAAATGGGACAATGTAAACTGTTTTCCATATAGAAGCAGCAAATAATGCTAAAGCAGCAATAAAAACAATACAGTTCAAAACTAAATCAATGAGAAACCAATGAAATATTGTAAGTGATGGACATGGTCCAGACAGGCATGGTTAGTAATTTAAAATAGCAGGGCCTTCTAGGTGACTAGGATGGAGATACTGTACCCTAAATTTAATAAAGGTTAGGGTACAGGCAGAACATACCCTAATTTAATGAAGGTTATTTTTCTTAAATGTACACATGAAACCTTGAATATAAGTAGTTACTATCTTTACCTACCTGTAGCTATGCTCTTTATAGAGGGCATACCCACTCCCTGCTTCCCATCCCAAGAAAATGGAAACAATTAAAAATTATTTAAAATATGAATATTCTGCCTCAAAATCCCCCAACCAAACAGCCCAGAGATAACCACACCCTTGGTTCAACTTCATCTGACAGTTTTGGTTTACAATCTAAGACAGGAGTGGGCAATTATTTTGGGCAGAGGGGCCACTTACTGAGTTTTGGCAAGCCATCGAGAGCCACATAATAGGCAGCCCAAGGCAGATAATTTTCTAAATTAATTAGGGGCCCCGCGGGCTGGATAGAATGGCCTGGCGGGCTGCATCTGGACCCTGGGCTGAATTTTGCCCACCCCTGATCTAAGAAGATCCTTGACAGAAGTGCCAAGGCATTCCATTATTGCCCCTTTCCAGTAAGCCAGAGAGTTTCCATAGTGGAAGAGAAGGATACATCCATTAGACACTGGAATTAAGATACCAACTCATACCCTTTTCTTCTGTGGTTCTCCTCTTTATTAAAAGTTTTTGTGATTTGATATAAATAGTGCATTTACAGAAGGGAATGCCCTTCTATCACAACCAATGTCACAACTTTATAAAGCACAAGACATTGTCATTAAGTACCTCTAAGATAAAGCAGAAAGTGTCTGAAAGTTGCTACATTAATTTAAAAATAAGTAATCTAAAGTGAAAGTGTTTCTTTTAAGCGCTTGCATTATGTT